GTCATGAAACATATTGTCCATTTGATTTCCTTAAGTCTAATAATAATATATTTGGTTTTCAATAGGAAACAAACAGAGAAATTATATTAGTAACTTTCAATCCATCATAACATTTGTATATGTTAATTCTGCCCTTTCTACTTTTCCTTTTAATAGTTCATGTGACATCTAAGAAAATCACCAATGATTTCAAATTGTCATTAAATATTATATGAACTACAGAGGTCAACTTTAATATAGTATTTCCAGTACCCATATCTTCTCCTAAGCTGAAGTTGGTTAGCAGAGAAAATTGTAGGTATTAAAAACAATTACAGGTTTTTCAATAATTTTAGATAATATCGTCATTAAAGAAATCGGTTCATACTTTTCTAATACTTTTATACAACCGTATTTATATACAGGAATTACTATAGCTTTTAAAAAAATATTCCAAAAGATTTCTTCCTGAAGCGATATTTAAAAACAAAACAACAACACAAGTCTCCTTTTATTTCCTGATATATCCCCCTTAGTAGGTGAGGGATTATTTTACGGACTTACAACGCTAAAATTTGTGGATCGATTCACCGTGGTGGACAGAGCGCTTATGGTGTAACTTTGCACTAAAACAAACAAACAATTTCCTGATACATATTTTTATTGTAAACACTGGTGTCTGATCTATTTCAGCAGCCTTTCTAGAGTCCAACTGCTTTAACAGTTCTTCAACCCCAGTTTCAGACATGTATTTAGAAAGAAAATACGTATTATTTAAACTCTATTTATTAAGATTATCAACCAATACGTAGTTACTCATCCTTCTGGATCTTTCTCCCAAGAGTAACTAACGTTTATATCTACAATTTCATAATGAAATTATATTTATCTTTAGATCTAGCACGCATAATCTATCGTTTTCAAATATTATCTTTAGTTAAAAATTATCATTGTAATAATAGTGATGTAAAGGTCGAATTTGATAGAGACGCTGGTAACTCCGTTTATTCAGAATGCAATAGAGTGATCAAAATGTCGAACTTTCAGGCAAGTCTCAGTTTGTTTTGTGCAATATTTTGTCTATTATGAAATCCAGTAGATTAAAATCGTCCAGCAACAAACATTATAATTCCCTAATGATTGGCTCGAAGCAAAATAATTATATTCAACGTTTCAATTATAATTTCATTCAAAATTATAAAGATTTTTGTTTGTTTGTTTTTAGTTAAGCAAAGCTACACAATTGGTTATCTGCGTTCTGCCCAACACGGGTATCGAAACCCGGTTTCTAGCGTTGTATGTCTGCAGACATAACGTTGTGCAAGTGGATGGAAAAATTATAAAGAAGGCATACAATTTTATTTTTTATTATTTTGATGTTACTTTGACCACTGAAAAAGAAAGAACTGATAGAAAAGCATATTAAAAACCCAAGGAATTAACAAGGACAAGAAATAGTTTATCTGTCTTTAATTAATCAAGTGCTCCAAAACAATGGTGTTGAAAACGTTAAAAGAGCAATGACAAAATAATTTTTATCTTTGTTTAGTGATGAATTGTTCTCGAACATGTGTACAGAAAACGCCACGGAAGCAAGGATATAATAATTTTTACATGGTTTAATGGTTCAAATATTCTCTATCACTGGTATTGAAAACACTGAGAAAACAAAAACGGGTCATATTTACAAACATTACTATTTGTAACACTAAAAAGCAAGAACAAGGTAATTCTTACCCGTATTTAATGGTTTCAATTTTTGGCTCCAAGTCATCACAGGAGGCTTAATGTGGAGGAATGAAGGGCTGCAGTACGACGGAGCAGGAGAAGCAAGTACACCTTTTTCTTCCATGTTTGGCCATTCTTCTCCTAATGCAGTCATCTGAAACCCTTTGGGCACAAACACGACCAGAAAGATTACTGTAGCATTCAAAACAACACCAAACCCCATAGCAGCATCGTGGTGTGGCGGTTCTATTATGAGGGCAATTAGCATCCATACCAGCCATAAAGGTATGGTTAGGCCAGTGGCAATACCAATAAACCTTGATTCTTGATAATTTTCGGGATTTTCCTTTGTCTTGATGGCAAGAAAAACAACAAATGCTATTAGAAATATGTTATAAACAAGAACTAGCAGCATAGTCACAACATTCGAATTACAAGTAGAACCCCCGGCGTGATAAACAATTACAATAGGTGGTCGTTGCATTAGCCACTGGATTCCTATGGATAGCTGTACGACAACAACAAAGAAAAGTAACAGGACCTGATATAAAGCCGGCAAGTAAACTCCTGTGTGTAGACTGTGCAAGAATATAGTTTTTACTAATAGTGTTCCAAATACTAAAGAGTAAGTTAGGCCTAACCCCAGACGGACCACCCCACATGTGAACCAACTTGGATCGGCAGCAAACACGTATCCAAGTAAAGAACAAAGGAGCAGCCCAAACAATAAAACCTGTTCTAAAACAAGATGTCTGCGGCTTGAGGTTGATCCTTCAGCTTTCCACAGCATAAACACCTCGAAAAATCCGATAACGATTATGTTTACAGAAGATACCGCTATAAGTGGGACTGCCCATATTTCATCTCGGTACCACAAAGGAGCGTTAAGGTTTGTTTTGCTGCAGTCCTTTTCTTCACAGTAGCGATGCTTCGTGTCGTTCAGTGTTAAGTTTTCCTCGGTGCTTACAAGTACTGGAAACTTTTGGGTCATAGTTGACTGAATAGCAAATTCAAGAAAATATATCAGTGATTTCTTATGGAAGTCAAATAAATTGATCCAGCCCATCATTCCAGTGATCTTCTCTCTTTTTTTTATAACAATCTAAAATAGATGCACAACCTTAAAAAACAATCATCTGGAATGATTTAACTTCGTAAATTTTATCTACTAAGATGTAAGGAACTATACAACAGATAAAATATACAACAATAGTTATTTTCACGTCAATTTGTCAGTGTGTATTAAATAGATATATACTAAGATTTACTTTCACTCCTACTACAACAATAAGTTGTGCATTTTTTATGCTTGGTATCAACTTACCTTATTGTACATAAAATATGGATATGCCCCCCAGTGGCACAGCGGTATGTCTGCGGACTTACAATGTTAGAAACCGGGTTTCGATACCCGTGGTGGACAGAGCACAGATAGCCCATTGTGTAGCTTTGTGCTTAATTACAAACAAACAAAAATAGATATATAATTGATGGGATTGTTTAAATGTTTAAAGATTTCGAAAATCAGCAATGCTTGACTTTTTCTTTTATTTCAAATAACCGAAGAAATGTTTTCAGTCTTTCATTTTTCGTCTCATTTGACTTGTTGTATGACTAACCAATGCCATTCCTTTGCAGCCATAGTTTTAGTGTGGCTCCTCCTGAGTGTTCAAGTGTTCCTGCATTTACACCAAGGGACCGTTGTAGTATATTAACACAGGATCTCTTTCTCTCAGCCGGAGGCGAAGTAGTATTTTTCGGTGGCAAGAACGAAAAATCTTTGTAATTGTCTCTTTGAAATGTTGCATAAAGCGTTGAAAAGTCTGGAAGATGTTATATCCAAATATGCAATCCATATGATGGTAACAGTCGAGAAAGAGACGTAGGGTTTCGGAGTGGCCACACCGTCTTATCAGCTCCTGTCAAACATTTTTACTGATTATATTTTTTCATTTTATTTTCTTTGATTCTCAAAACAAATTATTCAAACTTTCTTCGTTGTATGTTTGAGGTTAGATACCTTGTTCTTGATCATTTTATCTGAGGGAAGGTCTGGAAAACAGAAGCAACGACCGGAGAAGAAGAAGAAGACTTACCTAGCAGACCAATCGGTTACACAACAAGAAGTACTGTCGTTAACTATGTGGCTTCTGCTGATGATGTGGCGAGTCATAACTTAGTCAATCTTTCTTCGATTCTGAAACTGTAAATTGTAATCGTCATATCTCAACGAATGCTACACTCTATATAAGTTTCACTAAACTCGGGTAAATCCCGGATTTGTTTTTTTTTCTACATCGATCCCTGCCACCAAGGTGCTTCTGGTTGAAGGAGAAATATTTTGTTAAGTTACAACTTTTTAAAACAGCATCTATTGCTTCCGATGCTTTGTGTGTTGAGCAAATAACTGATGAATAGTTCAAAGTAAATATACACCCACTTCAGAAAGAAAACCACTTTATTAAATAAACAAAGAGTGCAAGATTACCATTAGTACTTATGGATCTCCTGCTAAGAATAATTAAAACAGGAACGCTGCTACTCGTACTCAGAAGACCTGGGTCTATGAGATTATACTCCAATGCCGGCGAAGAACTTGAATGAGGCTGTTAATAGAAGTTGGGTGTTTAGGGATGGCCAAAAATAGAACATACAATCTCGATAAGGTTCACATCCATCTACTAGCCTGACATTCAGTCCATCATTTCGTGATTCGGGATGAATGTACATGAACCCCCATCGTGTTCGATAATTGTGATCTATGGAGCAACATTGATCTCCCTTCATACCACCAGCTGTGAACGTCCAGCTGCTTAAATGGAACTCAGTATGAAGTAGCGCATTGAAAGTTCCTGGAAAGATAATCTTCAAATTCAGGTACTGCTGATAATTGTGCAAACCTGGGAAGAATTACAGTGTTCCAAAGGCAGGAGAGTGTGATGCATCTGTGATGCCGATTGTTGTGGATACACGATATTGCCTTGAGTGAGGAGTGGCTTCCGTATAGCTACTTTGACATTGCAGCCCATATAAAGATAACTTCTGATGATAGTGGGGCTCAATCAGTCGTTACCAGTGAAAGTGGGTTTTCTCGGGGTACTCCCGTTTCCCCCACATTAAATTCTCGCCATAGGATTTTTAGATCCCCGCTGCCCTGATGGACAATCTGTCCAATATCGGCCGTTTAGTTAGTTTAGTTTAGTTTACTTTGCTCTTCACTTTTTATTCTCTACAGTTACTCTCTCGATTGCCTTCTTAAAGTTACATACCTCGTCTGCATTAATTTCCTATTTTCTCATGTTAAGCCCATATTCCTAGACCACGAGCGGGGTGAAGGAGGATTGTTTAATCTTCGAGCACCCCAGATTAGTAATTATTTCTTCGGAAATAATTATTTTTAAATCTAAGCAACTGCCAGGAAAAACGAAATAGTGGGGCTCACTTGTATCTGTTCTTCAACAATAGCGGTTATTCTCCATACTTCGCCTCAGAGCACGGAGATTCCGTTCTGTTAATTTTGTGTGCTCAGACTATGCAGAGACTGTTGTTTTCCGACGAGATTGTAACTACATTATCATTCTATTCTCTATTAACAAAGGTGTTTCAAGTGGCCTGGCAATTTCTCGCTCATTTTACTCGCTCTTCCCTTGTCCATTTGTGCAGCCTCGTGAAAATACGGTTAATTCCCCGAATCCTTTGTTTAGTGGCATAGGTGTTTGTTTTCTGTTTTGTTTTTGTATTTTTTTACGGAGATATACCAGTATTTTACAGAATTGTTATTTGTATATAACGTTATGGAGATTAATGGGGATGGTCGAATTATATTTTCGTAGTGTCTATATATTTATTGGGAGGCTGTGTACTGCCACGTGACACAGGGTTTTGTGATATCTTGAATACTGTTCTTCTGAAATATTTAACCTTATGGTATATAAAGTTGCTATTATCGCCACTAATTTATCAATATATTAACTAGAAAGAAAAACAAATGCTCAGAGTGCTCTTAAGTGATATTAATGGTCAAAATCAAATTTTATTTTAGTATTTAGTTATTCTGTAGATTTAGAATGAGGTTATTGCACTGATCTGGTGCTGCTGCGCATAACGATGAAAATCTGTCTTTTGTTTTACATGCATAACATTAGTAACTCAACCTGAAAACAGCTGAAGAGAAGATTTGGCTCTTTGCTCAATAAATATTGAACGTGGAGTAAAAAAACAACAACAAAAAAACAATCTTTTTTTTTTTACAAAACTGAAACAATATAATTACAGAAATCTAAAAGCTTATCAAAGTATCAGTTTCTCTCTGTTTAACTCTCTGATTTTCGACCTCTATCTTTCTATCCTGTCTAGGTGTGTTTTTCACAACAGCTTTGGCGATAGCGCACAAACCGGAATGATCACATTTTACATAACTTCCATATCATTAGAAAACCGGGGACACTGACTCCTTATACAGGCTCTACACATTCCACAGGGCAACACGTCAGAAGGTTAAATACTTTGTGCAAAAGAAACTACATCTTATTCAAAGTCAAGAAAAATTATGCTAGAACTGGAAATTGTGGCTTAAAACTACTTTATTGTGCATATTCCATTGGTTAGTGCAATTAAAATGTATTATGGCTTTAAGCCAATTGTACCAGAAAACATTGTAAATTGTGCTCAAATTTCAAAAGCTTTAAGTAGATTTTTCGCTTGGCAGACATCATATGTTTTCACTCAACAATGTGAGATCAAAGGTAGTGAAAAATTTAAAAACAAAATAACCACTTACTTTATCACCCCTGGGTCTTTTAAACTGCTAGTCGCCACTCATTTTTAGTTGATGAAGAGGAACTCACTAATAGGTCATATTTACAGCTTTAATTATGTTCACACAAACACAACATTTTGCCTAACAAACGAACAACTGTTATAGCTCATACTGGTTAATTAAACAGTGTGGTCTAAGGCCAGTAATTAATACTACAGATTATCCATGAATTATTTTGTTTGTCATTAAAGACTTTAAAATACTACATTTTACCTAGATTAAGAAATAAAACTAGGTGTAAGAGTGTTCGAAAAATAAAGTATGCTTTTGCTGTTAAAAAAGGTTCAAAGAAGCTTAGTTTTTAATTTGAATTAATTAGGACATTGTTTTATGTACGCAGTGAATTAGAAGTTGTGCATGACTCTAAACCCATATATTTTCGATTTACTGTCAATATTACAACGCTTGAAAGCTTACCTGAAATTGATAAACAGACGACCTAGACCTTGCAGTCTTGCTCTCAACAAACAGCAGGTTACTATGTCAACAAAACCAGCGTTGTCTAAAAGAATTCGTGGTACAATAGCTATCTAGTAACACTGAAGAACGCCAGAGCCCTCTCACGGCTGGATGGGGAAAATGAGTTTCGGTTAAGCAGGGTGTGACCATAGGCTTTGTAAAGTGAACAAATTGTTCTTGAATGGGCGTAGTATAAACATATACCATCACGGAGAAAGCAAACATAAATTTCAAGAAAACATATATTAATCTCGATCTTAATTTGTCCATAATTGTAAATTCTAAAAGTAGCCAAAATCTTCCGAACTATAGTAATCATTACGTATAATTATATATACCCTTTACATAGTGCGTATGTAATAAAAAGTATGAGGTAAGTATGTGATCAGGTTTGAATTACAATGATATATTAGTATTTATACTGGTATATGTGCTTAATATACTTTTAATATACCATATAAATGTAACATATTTCATGCATATTATTTTATTTTCTAGTAAGTTGGCTTACAACGTCAGTGCGCAGGATTCGATTTCTGCGACGGACATAGCAAAAGTAGCTCATTGTGTTTTAGTTCAATGGATTAGCTTATAACAACTTTATGATCGAAGAACTTTTACAGAATGTTAAAAATCGGGGATAGTTATCATTTATACAAAGGTTTAAAACATAAATACATTCTAGAATATTGTACAGGGGCTTAAAGTATTTA